TTTTTTTTTGGTTAACACTTACGCAAATTTCATTTAGATAAAAAATGCAAATTTCTTGTTCAGAGTGTGCAATTTTCGGTGCTGAAAACAATCTCCAAATTATGCAAATTTTTGGCTTCTAAACTATTCTATCAAAAATAGCACACACATGCACAGTTAGTTGTGTATTGATTTTACTCTTGACCAGTAGTGTTGTTAATTTTAGCTCGCCAGCTGATAGTACTGTTGTTGCCGGGAGTGGAACTGGTACTAATACACCTGTTATTGCTATTGATGGTAAAATTGAGCAGGCAATGGTGAGTTCATTCTCATTTGCCTCTTTTGTTACTCCATTTTACATTATAAAAACAAAGTTAACTTTTAGAAGGATTAGATCGAATCCCATATCGCTATTGCTAACAGACTGGGCTGCTTTCAGATTGAAACGAACAGACAGCCAGGTTAAGTTTAAAAAAAAAAAAAATCTAATTTCAATTTGAATATGAGTTGGTAATTTTTCAATACTTTTACTTTCTGCAATTTTCAATAACCATTTAATTTATGAAGTTTCTATAAAAATTCTGAATTATTAATTTAGGACTTGGTAAAAACTCACCTGATGTTTGCAGTACGTGAAGAAGTTGATATTTTAAGGGCAAAAATTATGGAATTAGAAGCTACCGTAAGTGTTTTCACTTTTTTTTTGCTCATTTTGAAAAAATTAAAAAAATTTTAGAAAATTCAAATAATTTAAAGTTAATTAGAAATGATTAGAAACGGAAGAAAATGAAGTTAATCGATTGATGGTACTTGAAAATTGCATTGTTCTCGCTTTTGTAATACACTTAAACATATGTAAATTAGTGAAATGCTTATATTTCAATTGTAGATTTTCCAACTGGAAGCTGAAAATGCAATCCTTCGCGAGCATGTGCCGGTGGAAATTTTAAATAAATTAAGTTTGCAAACGACACCGTCGAATTCAACTACAACAGCTGCTGTTTAAATACTAAACAGTTCGATTTTTTTTTTCTTCATCGATTGACCTCTTCATCCTTAGCAATAATAATGTGTAATATTTTTCCTATATTCGACATTTTGTATTTCAAATCATTCATCCATAACATATCTAAGCAACTTTTTAAAAGATATATTGATTTTCCATACTGTAACTTAAGAAAATAACAGCAATGAGAAATGTTAATTTTAATGAGTGAAGCTTTTTTTTTTTGTAATTTTAACCAAAATTTCAAAAAAGTTTCATGAAACACTGAATCTTTATGGAGTAAGCAAGTTTTTGTATTTTTATATAATAAATTCCTTAAAATTGATTTAAATTATGTTAAAATAAATCATAGAGTAAGGAGTTAAATTAATATTATGAAATATGAAAATTTATTTGGTATTTTTTTTTCCTGGTTCGATCAGACGGGTCACTGTCCATATCACTGTTTAATATTTCAATAAATGAATCATCATTTCACTCATAAATCCCAATTAATTTTAATTCAAATATGCATATGCTAGGCATTA